GGACGAAAAGCTCAGCTAAGGAGGCATGGGAGGCCATTGCGGCGATGCGCGTCGGTTCCGACCGCGCAAAGAAGGCGACGGCCCAGCTTCTGAAGCAGGAGTACGCAAACCTCAAGTTCAAGGATGGTGAAATAGTGGAGGACTTTTCCCTTCGCCTGCAGACGCTCATCAGCAAGCTGAAGAGCCACGGTGTCACCATCGACGAAGAGGAGGCGGTCTCCAAATTCCTCCACTCCGTGCCGGCAAAGTACATCCAGATCGCTCTCTCCATAGAGACGATGCTGGACTTGTCCACCCTCACCATCGAGGATGTGGCAGGCCGTCTGCGAGCGGTGGACGAGCACCTGGAGCAGGCGACAACAACGAAGGACAGCGGGAAACTCCTGCTGACGGAAGAGGAGTGGGCTGCTCAGCGAAACTCCGAAAAGGCAGCCTCCTTCGCGGTGGCAATGACAAACATCGCGGCAGGGCTTCTTCGGAGAAGAAGCAAATCGACTCCAACGCTTGTCGGTGTTGCGGGAAGATGGGCCATTGGGCACGGGAGTGCCCAAATCGCAAGAAGGAAAAGAAGGCTCAGGCTCACCTGGCGAAAGCCGATGATGAGGATGAGGCCACTATCCTTATGGCGACGTTCTGTGCACTGCACGACGTCGAGGCCATGGAGAGGGAAGAGGCGACAACGGTGGAAGGATCTAGCAAGGCACTGAAGACCGTCAACCTCGACGAACCATGCGCCCAAGTCCATCTCGGGCGTGTGGGCGTCGACCAGGAGCAGCGGTGGTATCTGGACTCTGGTGCTAGTAACCACATGACGGGCTCCAAGGACTCCTTCTCTGAGCTCGATGGTGATGTTACCGGTACGGTGAAGTTTGGTGACGGCTCAAGGGTGGCCATCCATGGGCGCGGCACCATCATCTTCAGATGCCAGAACAGGGAGCACCGCGCGCTAACGGATGTATACTACATCCCGCAGCTGCGTTCAAGCATCCTCAGCATTGGTCAGATGGATGAGCGCGGTAGCGTGGTTCTGATCAAGGATGGTGTTTTGAGGATCAGAGACCGGGAGCAGCGACTTCTAACCAAGGTGAAGAGGTCCCTGAACCAGTTGTACCTGCTCGACCTAAAGGTAGAGCAGTCGGTCTGCCTGGCGGCAAGGCAATCCGAGGAGCCGTGGATATGGCATGCCCGGTTCGGATATCTCAGCTTCGACGCGCTTGGTCGGCTGGGGAAGATGGTCCGAGGGCTACCCCCACATCAAACACGGAGACGAGCTGTGTGACCGCTGCCTGGCCGGGAAGCAGAGGAGGCAACCTTTCCCAAAGGCGGCCAAGTATCGCGCGAAGGAAGCTCTCGAGCTAGTTCACGGCGACCTCTGCGGGCCGATCATGCCTACTACATGCGGTGGTCGGCGGTACTTCCTCCTGCTCGTGGACGATTATAGTGGCTACATGTGGCTGCAACTCCTGACGAGCAAGGACGAAGCGGCGGTGGCGATCAAGAAGTTCAAGACGCGTGCGGAGGCCGAGAGCGGCAAGAAGCTCCGTGTACTGAGGACTGATCGGGGTGGCGAATTCACTTAGGTGGAGTTTGCTACATACTGCGCGGATCAAGGTGTGGGGCAACATCACACCGTGCCGTATTCGCCACAACAGAATGGCGTGGTGGAGCGACGGAACCAGACAGTGGTTGGCATGGCCCGATCCATGATGAAGGCCAAAGGGATGCCGGCAAAGTTCTGGGGAGAGGCGGTGACCACGGCGGTGTTCATCCTCAACCGAGCTCCAACCAAGGCCCTAACGGGCAAGACGCCGTTCGAAGCTTGGTACGGGCGCAAGCCGCACGTGTCATTCCTCCGGACATTCGGTTGCATCGGCCACGTTAGGAAAATGAAGCCGAACCTCACCAAGCTGGAGGACAGGAGCACACCCATGGTGTTCCTGGGCTACGCGGAGGGTACCAAGGCGTACTGGCTCTATGACCCTCGCGGAGACAAGGTGACTGTCTCACGCGACGTTGTGTTCAACGAGGAGGCAGCTTGGGACTGGAACAGTCCGAGCACGGGGGAAGCGGGAGGCTTCACCAAAACCTTCGTCGTCGAGCACTTGGTCATCCACGGCAGTGGAGACACTGCGGAACAGGTGCCACGCACTCCAGGAGGAGCGCCGAGCACTTCGGCGGTAGAGTCGAGCACTTCTGGGGCAGTGCCGAGCACTTCGGGAGCAATGCCGAGCACTCCGGGAGGAGTGTCATGCACTTCTGGAGGGATGCCGAGCACGCCAAGAGTGGAGCCAGGAGGTTCTGCAGTGGTGGCGACCACTTCAGGACGGGTGCCGAGCACTCCCGTAGCTGAGCCAAGACGTCTTACTGTGGTGTCGACCACTCCAAGACTGAGGCTGGGCACTCCTACAGTGTGACTGAACACTGCAGGAGTTATGACGAGCAGTCCAGAAGAAGTGCCGAGCACTTCGGGTGCTATGCCGGGCACTCCAGCGGAAAAAGGAACTCCATCGCCCCCGATCGAGTTCGTCTCACCTCCAAGTGATACCACTGAGTTCGTGGACGCCTACCACGAAGGGGAGGAGTTGAGGTTCCACAGGCTGGACGATATCGTCGGTGGCACAGGTCCCTAAGGACTGGCAGCCAGGCTGCTCAATGACACAGAGCTGCTACTCGTCAGTGCGGAGGAACCACCCACGTTCACGCTAGCCGAGCGCGATGGAAACTGGCGACGGGCAATGCTGGAGGAGATGAAGGCGATCGAGGAAAACGAGACATGGTAGCTCATCAATCCACCCCCAGGATGCCGTCTGATCAGCCTGAAGTGGGTGTACAAAGTCAAAAGGGACGAGCTCGGCGCCATCGTCAAGCACAAGGCGCGCCTCGTCGCCCGAGGCTTTGTCCAGCGTGAGGGCATCGACTTCGAGGAGGTCTTTGCGCCAATAGCGCGCATAGAGTCGGTCCGTTTGCTACTTGCTTTGGCGACAGCAAAGGAATGGCGCGTCCATCACTTGGACGTTAAATCGGCCTTCCTCAACGGCGAGCTGGCAGAAACAGTCTTCGTCAGGCAACCTCCAGGGTTCGCTGTCAAGGGAGAGGAGCACAGGGTGCTCCGACTACGCAAAGCGCTCTACGAGCTGTGGCAAGCCCCTCGAGCATGGAATGCCAAGCTTGACACCACACTGGGCAAGCTTGGGTTTCAGAGGTGCGCAACCGAGCACGTGCTCTACACGCGATGACGGCAGAAGGAAGAGCTCATGGTCGGCGTGTATGTGGATGACTTAATCGTCACTGGCGCACGCACGGAGGACCTCAACAGATTCAAGCGCGAGATGGCAGCTCGTTTTCGAATGAGCGATCTCGGCGCACTCTCCTACTACCTCGGCATCGAGGTGAGGCAAGGGAAGGAGGAACTCACGCTCGGGCAGAGCGCGTACGCCTCCAAACTGTTGGAGAGGAGCGGCATGGTGGAGTGCAAGCCATGCGTGACGCCGATGGAGGAGCGGCTGAAGCTAACGAAGGACAGCACCGCGGCGAAAGTGGATGCAACACTCTACCGGAGCATCATCGGCGGTCTGCGCTACCTAGTCCACACAAGGCCGGACATTGCGTTCGCCGTGGGCTACGTCAGTCGCTTCATGGAGGATCCCAGAGAGGATCACTGGGCTGCGGTGAAACGGCTACTACGCTACGTCAAGGGGATGGTGAATCATGGAATCATCTTCCCAAAGACCGGGGGAAGTAGGCTGCGGCTCACGGTGTTCAGCGATGCAGACATGGCGGGGGACATCGACGGATGACGAAGCACCTCTGGCATACTCGTCTTCCTCGGGTCATCCCTAATTTCATGGCTGTCGCTGAAACAGAAGGTGGTAGCGCTATCTACGTGCGAGGCAGAGTACGTAGCGGCGGCCACAGCGGCGTGCCAAGTTGTGTGGCTACGCCGGCTGCTGGGCGAGCTAACCGGCGTGGAAGTTCACCCACCAGCACTGATGGTGGACAACCAGCCCGCCATCGCCCTCACGAAGAATCCGGTTCTGCACGACCGGAGTAAACACAGCGACGTGAAGTTCCACTTCCGCAGGGACTGTGTTGATGGAGGGTAGATCGTCATCGAGTTTGTCGAAACTGGTCGGCAACTCGCGGACGTCCACACCAAGCCGCTCGGACGACTTCGACTCACGGAGCTAAAGGAGATGATCGGCATGGAGGGGGTACAAGGGTTAGCAGTAGGATTAAGGGAAGATTGTTAGCTAATCTACTACCACCTTGTGTGAACACAGTAGAGGAAGGCGGCGCCGACTTTGTCTCCTGCTGTGATACTATAGCCGCTGCAGGTGCAGGTGCAGGCGCCGCACGACTCACCTGCAGCACTGTAGGCACATGCAGTGGCCGGCGCAGAGTCAGCCCTGTATGCTTATATAGTTACTGTTACAGCATGTGCGCTGTACTTTAGTTAGATAGATAAAGTTGTATAAATAGGGCACCAAGGCAACTCAGTAAAGAGAGCTCAGATTTGCCAACACACAGACAGGGCCTCGGCCAACGTTGTTGTCTTGTATTGTGCGTGCTTGCTCTGTTCTCCCTTCTTCTTCTAGCTCGATCCGTAGTGTGTGGGTACGGATAAAACTGGTACGGTGGTCGGCACGGCTAGTGGTCTGGAGGCCAGGGGTCTGAGACTAGTGGTCTGGAGACTAGTGGTGGGAGACTAGTGGTCTGGAGGCCAGGGGTGTGAGGCTAGTGGTATGGAGGCTATCTGGTTCACTGTCGTCAGCCGGTGATCCCGTAGGTCAAGAACCATTAGGTTCGGACTTACTTTCACACAGGAAAACTAGATTATATTAAACGATGCATTTGATGCAAGAAGATTACAAATAAGAACGAGAAAATCATCCTCAGCACAATGCATGCAAATGTACAGACAGAATGTACGTGTGCCGGCAGCTGGTCTGTCATGTACGCATACATACATGATGAACGTGACAAGTGGACTAGCTAGCAAGCTAAGCTATGGTGTGGCCGCCGTCGATGCAGATGACTTGGCCGGTCATGTAGGACGCCGCCGGCATGCAGAGGAATGCCACCATGGACGCCACCTCCTCCGGCTCGCCGATCCTCCCCATGGGCAGCCGCGCCATCTCCTTCTTCACCAGCTCCGGGTCTATCGTCTTCTGCTCATCAATCCAAAATAAATCAATCATGCCATGAGGTCATATATAATCATGTAATAATAACATTTATAGCTTTTAGTTGAAAAAGATTAACATACAAAAATATGCATAGGTATAGGAGTTGACTGAGATTAAAATTAAAGCTTACATCACTGCTGATGTCAGTCCTAATGCCCCCAGGCGCGACGCAGTTGACGCGGATGCTGTCGCTGGCCCACTCCGTGGCGAGGCTCCGAGTGAGCTGGTTCATGGCGCCCTTGGTCATGGAGTAAAGGGCGAGCGCCGGGAGCCCGATGAAGCCAGCGATGGAGGAGATGTTAACAACGCTACCACCACCGCCGGCGGCGGCGAGGAGGAGTGGGTGCGCGAGCTGGCTGAGGTGGAAGCACGACTCGAGGTTGGTCGCCATGATCCGCGAGTAGTCCTCGCCGGTGCACTCCAGCGTGTCCTTGAACATCGACTGCCCCGCGTTGTTCACGAGGATGTCGAGCCTGCCGCCGAAGGTGGCCCTCACGGTTGCCATGAGGTCCTCCCGGTCGCCACGCACGGACACGTCGCAGACGGAGATGGTGACCTGCAGCCCCTTCTCCTCCCACCGCCGGCGGCACTCCTCCAGCTCCGCCGCGTTCCGTGAGCACGTGTGCACCAGCGCGCCGAACCCCGCTAGCTCCTCAACGATCGCGTGCCTGCCATGCATGTTAATGTAATGTAAGTGAACTCGTACAAACGTACTAGTAGATCCCAATCAAGAGATCATCAGAGCACGTAATGTACCCTATGCCCTTGCTGCCGCCGGTGACGAGCGCCGTCGCACCGGCGAGGTTCCACCGCGCCGCCCTGCTCATGCGCGCAGCCACCATCTTCTTCCTCTCAATCTCTTGACTTGTATATACGTATAATGTACGAAAGATCGGAATTAGAGTGATCGTCGATGGATGTAGAGTGCAAATGGGATGGATGAGATGCTACTCCATATCCATGCAGCATGTATTTATAGTGATCTGACCGGATGGCACCTCCATTGAAATGTGCAGTTGCACACTAAGCAGAGCCGCGCTGACTTTGAATAAACTAGTGTAAGACCATGTTGTAGTCATCTGACGGCCGGATTTGGACAGATACGGCGCACAAGAAGACGGCCGCCCACCCACCCACTGCTGGTTTATTCCAAGCATCCGTCCAGAGAACAAAATATTTATAAATTTGTATAAATTCCACTGCCGTTGAACCTGTCATGCGTACGTGCCAAACTGTCTGAAGTTGTTGACATGAGCAACGAGCAGCCAATGACTTCCCTGATTAATTAAAAAAATATTCTTAGGGTTTAGTTATGGGGGCAGTCCAAAACAACCATATTTATAAATCTATTAACAGAGGGTTTAGTTAGGGCTTATTTATGATCCACTTTAGGTTTTGCAGCTATGCTCCCAGTTTGACAAGCCAAAGATGCCAACTGAAAGAACTCCTCTAGCAACAAAGGTGGACGGACCTTAACTCCATGTTTTTTTGAACTCCTCGAGGGTACTACAAAACAGGCTATTCATATCTCCAAAAACAGGCCCCCACCTTCCCTCCAGCTCTCTCTTCTCTCTACAAACGTGTCTCTCACCTGGTCTCTCACTTCTTTTTACCTCCAGGCCCTACCCTCCATCTTCATGCGGAGGTGTTACTATTTCGGTCGGGGGTGCGGCAATATTACACTGAGCAAGGAGGATCCTGTGACAACATGGCACTTCCGGACAGTGGCCGCAAATTGGCCACCTACCTATGAAATCGGCGCCCCTTGTCATGGCAATAACCAAAGTCATCGCAGATAACAAGATCCTAATACAAAATCATCTGGTTTCATTGATACTTTTATTTGTTGTAAACCCTAAACAAACTAAATCTAAAAAGTATTGTAAAAGAAAAATGAGTCCACACTCCCTTTTTGTCCCCAGCAGACTCACCAGAGAGGAATACGTAGAGTGGCCCTAGAGGGCAGTGGTGGTGGGCTGGTTGTTAACCCTATGTTAATCACTTGGGATCGACGTAACAAATTAGTACATGCCACATAGACACAAAGCTTATTCATTTCCCCTACTTATAGTTAAACGATGATTTGTCCTGATACTCCTATTCCAAATTTTATGTGTTAAAGATTAAGATTAACATTTGTATGGATGCCATCGTGCACCCAATTTTTTCATTGCGGTTTAACAATGCAAACTCCAAGGGCGCAACACGTCGTCACCGCCAACCACACGGTTACAAAAAAAAGGCACTATCCAAGTAAACGAAAGATTTATTAATGATAGGAGTTCACTTTACCAGCTAATGTCAGAGTTTCCAACATACATAATGCACAATCAACTGAATATACAAAGGTAAGCAAATAACAGATTCATGTTTATAACTAAGTAAAAAAGCAAAGCTAGGGACAAGAAAATTGTGTACCCTCTACCAAATGTCCATTGAATCACCTGCAACTTAATTCAGTTTATATATATATATATGAACCAGAAAATCGCCATATTCGTTTATTTGTACCCCTTTTTTGGGGCTTTGCCATCCTTTTCTTAACAAAGATAGGTTTAGTAACAAAGCGAGGTTATGTTTACCCCATTTATTTCAAAGATCTATTGGGTTGTGAATCTTGAGACCACAATATGCATGCCAATATATATATATATATATATATATATATATATATATATATATATATATATATATATACCCTATGCCCTTATTATAAAATATTATGAATAATTAAATTGAAACGAGGATCCGCTTGGCTGTCCATATCAGGCTACCAGCGAAATACTTCGCTGGGTACTTATTTACAACAAATTTTCAAATATCTCGAGAATCAAACTATGATTGTCCGGTAAGTTAACTAAGCAACTTGGGTCAAATGATCCAGACTTTTACTGCCCATCAGGAAATATGGATAAGAAAACTATAATTTATACCGATTAACTAAAAATTAGCCCAAATTAGTTATGGTGAGCCAGCTTGTTTTTTTTCAACTGTGTTGGCTAGCTAGTTGCTAACAACTAGTTGACACTTGGCCAAAAGATTAGCCACCAATTAGCTCTACTGTTTGAATGCACTATAGCTATTGTTTTAGCTGGCTAGTAATTAGCTCATGTATCAAAACATGCCCTGCAAAATGGTTAGGATATGTGCGCTTATGCAACAATTTCTTTGTAGGTTTTACCTCATTCATGGAATAGACATTAGTGTGTATATTTTTAATGACAGGGACTGGGATTTGAATTGTAAATTGGTCTGTCATTGCAAAACATGAACAATTAATTAACGATTGAAAAGTCTCTGCAGACAACGGTTAACTAAAGCATTGCATAGAAGAAAGTGAACAAAAAAAACAATTCTCTGAGTGCCGTCCACATACCACTCCTCCCTTGTTAGTTTGATATACACACGTTACACACTACTACAGTCATGATTTTAGGGGCTGCTGCTGAGCCAGTGTAGGGTGGTTAGGCCAGCCGCCCCTGTCAAAACATCTCTACAAATGATGGATTTTTAGAGACGGCTCCCCAGAAACAAGGTTTTTAGAGGCGGCTAAAAAACGAGATCCGCCCCAACAAAACGGTCGAAAATAATAAAAAAAAATGGTGGCTTGCCGCTGTCGACCAGCCGGGCCAACGCCCGGCCGTCCAAAACCGCGCTTCTCGCCGGGGACCGCCGCCACGCCACCAGCCGCGGTTGACCAGCTGCTTCACGCCCCGCCTTCCGAAACTGTGCTGCTCGCTAGGACCGACGCCGCATGGCTGGCCACCAACCACGGTAGCGCCGGGTTACCGCACTTGTCGCCGCGCGGCCAAGTCTGCAGCGGGGCCGCCGCCCGCTACTACCGGCCTGGCCCTCATCGGGGTCACTGCCGCCACGCCGACGTCGGGGCGCCGCCAACGCCAACGCTAGCCTCACCCGCGTCGGTGTCGCCACCAACGAGTTTTAGGAGGTCGCGCTGGGCCCTGCTTGTGCCGCCCCAGAGGCCTCCCCGGGTACGCTGTGCGAGCCACCACGCCTCGCCGGATCGTGGGCTGCCGTGGTCCGCGCCGGTTCCGCCACCACCGAGGAGATCGTGCGCAGAGTCTGCCAGTGCCGCCATAGTGGCCTGCTGGGGAGAATCGGCCGTGCGGGTAGCACGGGGAAGCGGCCGCACCGGGAGCCCGCCGCGTTGGTGGAGACGACGACGCCCACGGCGATGGAGAGCACCGGGAGCCGGCCGCGTTGCCTCTCTGCTGCTGTGTTGCATGTTTGGGGTGGAAATGTGTGAGTGGATGAAGAGGAGGAGAGATGGCGTGTGGGTGGGACAAAACTTGTGAGTAGTTAGTGCATGCGGCCCCTCCATGCCTTTGTTTTGAAACCGACAAGGCCTGCCTCTTTTGCTTTTGACTGCCAATACTTTGAACCTCGAGCGCGCGTCCTCCACCACGTATTCAAGTCACGGGCGCGGGCTGATATTTTGTCTAGGAAACTACACCTAAAACTTTATAGAAGCGGCCTATTTATAGGGGCGGCTTGTCCCATGGGTTCTAGACACGCACATTGTAGGGGCGGTTGGTGATTGGGCTGCCCCTACCAAAGAAAATATGCCGTTGCTAAAAAATCATTTGTGTAATAGGGATATCTAACGAGAAGAACTTAAGAAATAAAGCCAAATGTATGCAGCGTTGACTTAATAAGCCGGCCATCAGTTGATCTGCCAGTGTCAATGAATCTCAAAATAATGGTACTTATGTCGGCAAAAAGATGACGACTCTACATAGACAAAGAACTCTATAATATAATGGGGTGTTTGGATCCGGTGATTAATGTTTAGAGGTGTTCGGATACTAATAAAAAATAAATTATATAATCCGTCAGTAACCTACGAGACGAATTTATTAAACCTAATTAATCCACCATTAGCATATGTTTACTGTAGCACCACATTGTCAAATCATGGACTAATTAGGCTTAAAAAATTCGTCTCGCAAAACAGTCTCAATCTGTGCATTTAGTTTCATATTTAGTTTATATTTAATACTCCATGTATGTGTCCAAACATCCGATAGGACAGCGACTAACGTTTAGTGGAGGAAAATAACACCCCTAACTATAACATGGCAGGGCGATCGCTAGCTCCACCGTCAGTATCTTCGGGTGCATTCATCTTTGCAACAAACTCACTTGTCTCCTTGTGGGATGCATGACCAGTGCCCTTCTAGAATGATAGTACTAGGTATAGGTAACTCCCATCATCAATCATTATTGGCTAAATCAGCAATTACATATCAATAATACTCGTCTTATTGACTAATTTAGTACTAGGGTACAACGGTACAAGTACAAGTAGTGTACTTGCGTATGGGTGCAGATGGCAAATATCTGCTCCGCTTACAGCACTCCAAATGCATAGTTTCCATAGGTATTTTCTATAGCAAAAAAGAAAGTGCAACTTAGGCCGGTCTCAATGATAATTTCATTACGTTGTTTTCAAGACTGTCATGTCATATAGAAAGAAATGAAACTTAAATGAAACACCCACTCTCAATGCAAAGTTTCATTCTATAGTTTCATACACATTTTATTCTATGACTTATAGAGAGTTGGTAATCGTGCTAAGAGAGTTTCATCCCCATGAAAGTCAATTCTTCTCTCTCTTCATTAAAACATTGTCATGTCATCACAAATGCATATGTGGTGGGCTATTAAATTCAAATGAAACTCTCACTGAGACTGACCTTGCCAAGTCAAACTCCGTCTTCTAAGTTGAGAGATTGTAGATGTTTTAATGGTTGCTTCCTCATTCAAATCAGTAGCACCATACTCTTTGCTAGAAGATGAATCGTTGGCATCAGGAAAGGTT